TTGTTTATTAACTTTCTAGCAGCTTACAGTGAAGACACCACTTGACTCTGCACCACTGTCTGTGATGCAAACTCTGCTGCATGTGCTGCAGACAGTGATGACATCATTTCTAAATTACCCCACACATCTTTTTCTGCATTGTGTTCTCAACAAAACCCCCCAAAAACCTTTTTTATCTCATCACATTTTGAACAGCACACGCATCAAGCTTCTTGCGACTGGGACATATCGGCTGATAAATATCAGTCAGCCTCTAACTGAAAGTCTGGTTAAAGAGAACAAGCACAGAAGCAGATTTGTTGAATAATTGATTACATTGCAGGACCTGCTTCTTGTACTTCTCGTTTTATTTCACGACAGTGTAGGCGCAGCATTGTTGTATTGTTGCCATCCCCAAAGATTCGAAAGCAAAAAACCGGCGGCCAATGAAAACACCACATTGTCTCTTCGCAGAACGAGACGAACGCAAAGAGCGACGAGGGCACGGCGTGCTTTTTTATCAGCTGATTATGTAACGTCGTTACGCCCAAATGTTGTTACCTAAGGAACTGAATCGACGCTTTATTAGAAAAAAAAAAGTTTCCTTCATACGTTTGGTTTGATACCAGCAGACACCTCACTTCCAGCCAGATAAGATCCATTCTTTCCCTCCTCCTCTCACCTTTCCTCCACTCTCCTCCTCCTCCTCTTCCTCGCTGCCTCTCCTCCTCATCCTCATCCTCTCCTTCCTCTCAAACTGTCAGTCAGTCCATCACACGCAAGTCTTTGTGTGTTGTTTTTGGCAGAACGCTGTTTAGTGCAACCATCTGTCTCCTACTTCTCTGCCTCTCCTTCCTCTCTCTCCTGTCGTCCCTGCCAAAGTCACCCATCGGAGGAGCTTTTTTCTGCGTCTCCTTTTAAAATCCTGGAAACCTTATGAAGTCGTATGGCTCCCTGCCGACAGACGCGGGGTTGTATCTGTGCGTTTTTTTTTTTTTTTTGTGTGTATATGTGTGCGCCGACGGAGGGAAGAGAGAGAACATTATCTTCCAAATAAAAGAGGGAGGGGGGTTAAAAAAAAAAAAAAAGGCCAGCTGTTGTTAGAGTTTACTGAACTGTCCTCATGACTTGAAACGACAAGATGCTGCGTTCAGAGCCTCCATCGCTGATGTCATATGTGTGCTCCATATGCGTACATACATGAGCCTGAATGCATATGATGGCGAGAAATTAGCGTCATGTCATGTAGCTGCCATGTAGCCGGGATTTGCTTTTCAGTGCATGTTCAGGTGCTAACGTTTCTTTTTTCTTTTTCCCAAATTCCCAAAAAATCCCCCCCCCCTCCGTCTATCAGCAGGTCCAGGGCCAGCTCCCGCCGCTGATGATTCCCGTCTTTCCTCCAGACCAGCGGACTCTGGCGGCGGCTGCAGCCCAGCAGGGCTTCCTAATGCCCCCTGGCTTCAACTACAAGCCTGGCTGCAGTGAGTCCACACATACATTCCTAAATAGGTGCAACTTTGGGAGTAAAAAAGTAGCTTATGTGTGATGTTTCACATGTTTTTCACCAAGCAAGGTAGAAGCGATTTTTTTTTTTTTTTTTTTCCCACACAAGAAGTCTGGTTGTTTCCCAAAAGACGAGCTCGCCCCTACAACAACATCATCTCCCTCTTAATAGAAAAACCAGTCCAAATACACCCTTCCTGTTTACACTCTCCCTCTCTTTATCTCTCTCTCTCTCTTGGCTCCTTCCTTTTGTCTTGTCTATTTTTTGATATATAAAAGCAACAAAATGAAGGCGTCCTGCAGGACATGTTTTTTTTTTTTTTTTTTTTGGCTATCACGCTCCGGCTGTGTGGCAATGTGTTGTTTACCATGATAGAGAGAGAGAGAGAGAGAGAGACAGAGAAGGGAGGAGAAAAAAAAAAGGAAAAAAGAGAGAGAGGGAGGTTGGTGCTTGCCAGGGGATGCTGGGAATAAATGCACGGTGGGGGGTTAGCAGAAGGGGGGGAGGGAGGGTGGTAATGTGACCTGCCCCAGGTTCTCCTCACATTAACACGGGACGCAGCCAGAACATGCTTCCAACACAGCCCACACGCACCAGCACACATAAGACTCGCACACACAAAGACGCTCACTGATCGCTTTGTGATATTGCAAAAAAAATAAAAATACAAAAAAACGAATATGTGCACACTCAGTCCCGCTCCCGCCCCTCTCCCCACCACCCCACTTAGAGTTTCACAGCTTCCCAAACAAGTCCATTCCATTTTAATTAGTGCCATCTTCACCCACGCCCACTGCCCACGTAAATACCCTGTCAAGTAGTGGGCTTGTCTTTTCACTGCCTCAGCCAACTCCAACCGGACTGGCACACTTCGGCAGGCCAAGCCGCCCCTGAGAAAACTCTCTGGCAACTTTCGAAGTTGTTGTGAGTTGATGTAGTTTTCGGGGTTTTTTTTTTTTTTTTTTTTTTTGCCGCGGCTCGAAATAGGACATGTGTAGCATTGTGCTCTGACATATTCTCACGGCGCTTTCGTAGCGTCGGGAAGATATGAATAGACCCCGCGCAGTATGGACTTCTGTGCACCCGGCGGCCGTCTTGTTTAAACACTTGGACGGCGATGCATTTGTTATGTTCTTCTGACGCAGCGTGCCACAGCTTAAGATAGCTGCTCTTTTTTGAAGGTTAAAAAATAAAAAAGCGATGCAAAACAGACCTGCGTTTGGAGGTATGAAATGAGTTTTTTCAGCAAAAAGCTCATTTTGAAGGAGACTTTTCCTGTTTATAAAGTAAGAAGGAAGCATGAAAAGTGCAACTTATACCTTCTACTGATGTTACGCCAACGTCCTCATTATATTATCTCACATATAGTATTTGTGCCAAAATCCATCAGATTCTTATTTAGTCCTATTTAAATGACACTTAAATGAATTCAAAGTGGCGTTCAAGAGATCGACGTCTTCCTCAAGTGATACCAGCCTTTAGAAGAGACATTGAACAACTATTTTCGCTGCTTTGGTTCTCCTCCTCCTCGTGGCAAACAGACTTGCTCGTTGCTTACAGCCTGAACCTGAGAGGCATATTGTCTTTAAAAAAAAATCACCTCAACTGCATTATTTATCAGAGACAGAAACTGTACAAACAGACAGAATTGTCAGAACTTTCCCACAGTCCTTGAACTAAGCATCTGTGAGGTAACTTAACCAAATCTCGAAATCTCGTTATTCTACGTGTCTCATTTAAAAATTTATCAAAAATAAAGGATTGACTTTAACCAGATTCTGTAAAAAACTAAAAATTCTGCCCTCTTTGACACAACCAAAAAGCTGTTAATGACTTCTTTGTGACCAGCAATCACTTGACAAAAATCTGGGACTTTTTAGCTGCACTATCCTGAACTGCAGGTTGTGTTTACACAAAACATTAAAGCATCTATAGCATGTTGAGACACAGTTTAGTTTTTATCCACTATTAACCTCTGTGGGCACTAAAAACATGTTTAAATATGTTTAATCCTTTTTTTCCCCCCATTTTTTTCTTTTTTTGTAAAATAAATAACCAAAGAAATGTAACTATTAAGGATTTATGGCATTAAAACTGTGTCATGCTGCACTGAATACATTTTTCTCGACTTCTTTTCATAGTTGTGCCGTTTCCATAGAGGTGCAGGACTTCATATTAAAGTGAAAAACGAGCCCACAGTGACTTTAAAAATATGACAGGAGCAGAAAACCCCCTCAGAAACTGCTCGAAGGACGCCCCTTTAAGAATTTTAAAATACGTAAAACTGTCCACAAAGTGACACTGATAGCCTTTTTGTATCTCGCTCGCCTCGATCTGTTCCCCTCCTCCTTCTCGTCTGTTTATCAGTGAGAAATCTCAGCCTTCGTCCGCCTGGGTCGCTGTCCTCGAGCCAAGAGCAACATGTTTGCTTTTCCCTGTCATTCTCCCTTTTGTTACAGCGACCCCCAGGAGGAGCATAAATATCCACTGGGCTCATGTTTGTCTAGGGAGCAAGGAGAAAAGACCAATCTCCTAGAATACACAGTCCTGAAATAATTCTTTAATCCCTGCTGCCCTCCCTCCTTCCCCACTGGAGGAAAGAATGTCTCAGATTTTGCTTTCGGTTGTTTTGTTTTTTCTTTTTTTTTTTTAAAGAAAGGAGGCAAGTTATATGGGAAAATATGTTGGAAGGCTCATGCCAAGCTGGGACACATGCAAATTTTGCAGGGGCCGAAGGGCTGTGCCCAAGAGTCAGAAATGCAAGGTCAAGCCCGGAGAAGTTTCTCCTGGAAGAAGTTTCCTGGATTAAAACAGCAGCTTTAAAGCCCGACCTCCTCCCTCCGTGTGGTTTGCTCGGATGGAAATCAGAGCAACAGGTCTATACAATACGACCATAATTAAGCACAATATCCTTCGTCTTCCCTCACTTCTTCCCCTCATCTCTGACCTTTCTGCCCCTCCTTTTCTTTTCTGCCTCTCTCTGAGTAATTACAGCACAGCCTATCTGCACCTACTAACTAATAACCTGAACTCGTCCTTTCTCTCCCCTGCTTCCTCCGCCTCCCCGCGCTCCTGTCATCTCCTCCGCCCCGTTCGTCCATCTATCTCCTGATTTATCATTCCTGACAGAAGAAGAAGAAGAAGGGGGAGAGAGGTGGGAGAGACGAGAGTAACTTGTGACAACGAGAAGGAGAAAGTGGGAGACGAAGAGCGGCACAAAGCAGCAGAACAGGGAAAGAAAAAAAAATATAGAGAGCGAGAGGAGAGAGCAGCAATCGGCAGTCGCGGCTCTTAATTACGGTACTGGGGCCGGCTTTATCAGAATCCCTTCACCTCGCTGCTCTTTGTCAGGGGGTATTAAGGAGGAGGACACACAATCAGGCTTTTCATTAGGGCCCTACCGGCAGCGCACACAAAGGACGGCTTTAACAGCTGCAGAAAGGGACTCAGGTGGTGGCGGGAGGAGGGCGGGTGAGGCGGGGGAGAACAAGGGATGAAGGTGGGATGAGAGGGAGGAGGAAAAACAAGAGGATAAGGCGAGGGAGATGATGGAAAGAAAAGAGAGGAGGACAAATGTGAGGATTTGGGTGCAACTGGTGCGATGTTTCTCTAAAAATGTCGTCTCCGATTTCCTCCAGGTGACCCCTACCCTCTCCAGCTCATCCCCACGACGATGGCCGCCGCCGCCGCCGCCACACCAGGCCTGGGACCCCTCCAGCTCCAGGTAAGACCGCGGCGTCCGCAGCAGCGCTCGTCGCTCGGACTAAAACCCGACCCCGACAGTGTTTGCACCTCGCACTGCTGCCCGCTGAGCTCAACAAACACCACAAACACAGCCACAGGGGCGGCAAGCACAGCTGTCACTTCCAGCCAAAGTGTGGACACTGAAGAGATCCTGCAAAAACATGATCTTCATGATCGGGGGATGACAGACGTAGCATTAGCCCCTCGGCTTTGCCGTGCAACTGGAAGTAAAGTGTTGTAGTGCCGCTGACGTGAGTGTCAGCGTGCAGGAGAGAGCACGGAAATATTCAGATCGACTGTCAGGAGTAATCTGTGGGTGATGCCGAGGACAGTTCAGTCTCCTTTAGCAGCACAGAAGCATCTTTAGATGTGTTTTAGGTTATTATCACGACCAAAACTGATGATTCCACTTATACCAGCCCCTGAACACACCAAGAAAAAAAAGCTTCAGTCCCTGAAACATACTTTTCTCGACCCTCTGAGCCCCAAAACTCACCATTTGGTTTTGAAAGTCTGTTGTTTTTAAAAATTGCCCAAATTGAACTACGTACCGGAGCCAGAAACAGAAAGAATCATCAAATTTTCAACTTTCCGACTGTCCTTAAAGCTTAAAAATCTTCATCAGATCACTTTATTCTACGTGTGTCATTTGAAAAAGTGGCAAAAATAAACCAGATTCTGTAAAAAGCTGAAAATTCTGTGCTCCCTGGTGCACCAGTGAAGGCATCAGTGACTCATATGTGACCAACAGTCACACGATGAATATTTGTTGTGTTTACAAAACAATGTTTCATTCAGTTTCATTAGAACTGGCTATAAATGTGGATGATGTTATAAAAGTTAGGGTAGAACTATGAACGCTTTCACTTCTGGTTTAATGAGGTGTTTTCTGATTTAATCGGCCGATATTGGTCCGACACAGATTTATTGATATCTGCTTATGTGTTGTCTAGTACATGAAAAAGTTTCTTCTACAGAATATGATGCAGAAAAAGAGGCTTGTCATCACATAGGTTGTTGAGTCGAGCAGCTCCGACTCTTGTTTACAATCCTCTCAGCACTGTGCAGCACATGTAGCAGAGCACAGATGAGCTGGTAGTGGTGCGGAGTCAAGTCGTGTCTTCATGTTAAACTAGTTTGTGAAGAACATAGATAGAAAGTGTTAGTGTTAGATCCCATCATTCTACTTTTTTAGCATAAATTTAACCGCTGTATAAATAATATCAGCCGATATATTGATATCAGAATTTCTTACTCCTTAAAACTGGGTAGGCTTTAATGTTTTTAGCACTAAATCTGAGCAAGTTTAAAGAGTAAACTCCAGCACATTTTTAGGAATATCTGTTTTTGAGATGTAACCGAGTAAAATAAAGGATTAGCCTACTGTCTATTCCTACTAATACCATCTACCGTGTGCAGCACATGTAGCAGAGCAGATAAACAGATCGTGGTGCAGAGTCCAGCCGTGTCTTTGTGGTAAACTAGTTTGTGAAGAACACTGGTGGAAAGTTAGTGTTAGACACCATCATTCTACCTCTTTAGTATAACTTTAACAGCTCTATAAACAACATCAACAAATATATCGATACCAGAATTTCATACTCTGTCGTGTCTTTTGTACTAAATCTGCAGGTAGAAGAAGTTTAAACCGTAAAGACTGAGATGTGACCAAACAAATGAAAACATTCGTCTACTATCTACTGCAACTAGCAACTGTGTGCAGCACATGTAGCAGAGCACGTATCACAGATGAACAGATTGTGGTGCGGAGTCAAGCGGTGTCTTCAATGCATGGCTGAGAAGTTGGCATTAGAGAACTTAACATGTCTTCACAACTAACAATGACCCCATCAGTTTCTTATATACGAACAATATTGTCCGATTAGACTTCCTAAAACAGGTCAGCCTGTAGTGTTTTAAAGTCCCCATGTAGAGCACGAAAACATTTTCAGTCGTGTCTGTTTTTGAGATTCGATTCGGACGCATTAGACGTCTCTGAGCAATCAAAATTTAGAGGACGAGAGCATATCTGCAAGCGCTCATACGTTTGATAAAGTGGTCCGCTCCGTGCTCTCCTGCCATCCCATAAATCTGGCGAAGAAGTAAGAAAACAGAGCAGAAAACGAAGGAAAGGTACAAAGTTAAAAAAAAAAAAAAAAACAAGGAGTCAACATCTGTTTTCCCACTTTTAAGGAGGACGGTCCTTTTTCCTGTCTGCTTATGTAGAATAAGTGGCCTTTTTACTCGGTAATCCCGGTCCCGCTCTCTCTCCTCCGCTGAACCCCCGGCGCTGAAATACTTCCACTCGGATCCACGTGGGCTTCGGGGAGGCCCCCCTTTTCTCTCTCCCAGGGGTTAAGAGCCTGCGCGGGCGTCCTCTCAGCTGCCTGTCTGAAACACATTAAGCTCCGGCGCTGGGCTCGGCCTCGATACAAGCTGCACTCGGCCACCCCTCGCCTCCTTGACATGCATTATCATAAAACATACACCGAGAGGGACGCGCATATCTGGGCGAAACAGCTGCATGTATATTAACACATCTTTTCGCGAAGGAAAGAAAAAAAAAAACGACGGGAAAGCGTTGGGTTAAAGGTCAGGCGGAGTGTGTGTAATACATTTGCACCTGTCAGCCAAACGTGCCGCCCCATATGCTAGACACTACGGGGAGAATAGAATAGCTGTGTAATTCTATCATGGAGAACGGACCCCGCTGTCGTCACTGATTTCATTATTACTCGCATGTGTGTGTGCGCGTATATGTGTGTGTTTAGCCCGGGAATAATGTCCTCTGTCTGTTATCGCCGCTTCAATCTCGCCGTCCATATGTTCAGCTGTGTTCGCTCAAAATCTCCAAACAGCTTTGTCCACCTTGCAATTGGATTTTTTTTTTTTAACCATCCGGGGAGGGGTGAAAGAACACAACAAGTGCAAAAAAACATCTCACTGGCAGATTTTCTTTCTTACAATCCCCCCAGTAATAAAAAAAAAAAAACACACACACACATGCACGCTCGCACAAACACTGTCGAGATTAGGGCTTTGTCGGGAAAAGAAAAACGGATTTGCCCGGGCTAACACGAGTACAGATGTCTCAATGTGGATGGATTTCCTTTGGGGATCGTCTCGGCGCCCTCATTTGATAAGAAGGTGTTTCTGCCGCCTGAGACGAGACATGACAGTTAGCTCGGGCCTCGGGTCGCCACGGCAACACAGTGGTTTGGCTGAGAGGACACGAGTGAACCCACTTAGCCGACGCACACACACACAAATATGGACAGAAAATGAAAGATTTTCAGATACAGTGGACAATAAAAAAAAAACCCAGCTGCATCCCAGAGAACACTGAAACATGCTGGTGTCGCACTCGATGTGTTTATTTGTACCTACGTAGCGATTAGAGCTTCTGCTGGAATTATTTGAACGCACCTACGTAACGACGGACACGTCACGGTCGGGTTCTTATCTCAGGCAGTGACAGGAGGGAATTTAATCCGGCTCAGGTCTTGACCTTTGGTGCCTCGGTACTTTCAACAGGCTTCAATACAGCGACTCATTTAGGAAACTGGTATAATGTAGGGAGCACAGACTGGCCCTTTATATGCACACGCTGACGCAGTAAAAGTTCAGAAGCTACCCAGAACCACATTTAGGATCTTTCTTTTTTTGTTTTTCATTCTTTACTTCTGTGCATTCAGTCTTAAATTTTGTGTAATATGTCATCAACTTTGTAGATAATAAGAAAAAATGATGATACAAGTACTGAAAATAGACAGATTTTTTAAAAAGATAATCAATCTGAAGCAGCAGAGCATGAGATAGGCCAGTTTTAAATTCTTTTTTAAAATTTATTTAACCGTTATTGAACCACCTGAACCCCAAAACCAGGTGTAGAAGGCATATATTTTCATATTATTATTTTTATTGCCAAAATTATGCTATTTATTAAAGCAAGAAACTGCAAAAACACCATGAATCATCAGATTTTTAACTTTCTGACGGTCATGGGTGACTTTAAATCTGATAAATTAGGCAAAAACTTGTGATATTTCATTAAAGTCATTTTATTCTACATGTCTCGTTTGAAAATTAGCTAAAAATAAATAGTTTACCCTAACAGATAATTTAAAAAAACAAAAAATTCTGCACTTCTCAGCGCAACCATGAAGCTATTAATGATCGAGCTGTGAGCAAAAGTCACTTGACAAAAAATTCAGGAACTTTTTTTCACTGATCTGGGTTGAACTGCCGCCTGTGTAGCATGGACACAAATTTAAAAAAATCAATAGTTACACATCTGTACTATGTTTACCATTTATCAGAGCAAGAAGCTGCAAAAACAGGATGAATCATCAGATTTTCATCTTGAGTCTGTCTATAAAAAGTTTAACTCACCACTTTAAAGTTTACACGAAATGAAATCCATAAACTTTAAGCTAAAAAAAACGAATTTGTATTCTCTTAGATGAAATCATGAACTATGCCGTATCCATGTCTCAGTCTTCCCATTTAAAAAAAAGTCCCTTTCTTTGCTCATTGTACAAATTTTGCAAGAACTCGGGTTTGGAGCGTTGACTTTTGCCCCGCTTACACTGCATCAAAAATAAAAAAGTGGTGCGCATAGAAAGAAAGAAAAGAGAAAAACCTCTCAAAAGCGCAGCTTCGAGTTAAGTGCAGTTCTTAGAAAAATGTATTAATCTCAATGATTTAAAGCTTTCTATGTCTGAAACATCCTCTATAGAAATCAACAGAGTAGCTCTTATAGTGAATGGCAGCTTAACACAGAATCCTCCACAGAAGGTTTTCAAGGCAATGGAGGCTTTGGAGTGTACAAGGTTGGCATTTAGCATCTTAATCTGCGGGATGAGTGTGACATTGTGCATTAGACCATGTTAATCTGGCTCCCTATTGACCCTAGATATCATTGATATCATCCACATCACACACAAATGGACTGAGAAGGACAGACAGAGGGTTGGAAAA